TTTTATTAATGAGGCTACATGATTCATAAAATTTATGCATATATTATTTGGTAAGATTTGTAATAACTTAAAAAATTGGCTGCATACAACCTATGGGTCACAATAATTATTACCTTGTGACTAGACATGACCAGAAGATACTAGATAACCCTTATTAATTGTTTGTTCACTGGGTCAGAAGTCATGCATAATAACCTGATCACATGACTAATTGGCTGCTGATAGGGGGCATACATGTTTTACAAACATATCTTGTTTATCCGAAATTGCTTTTGAAAGCAAAAGTAGTGTTGATCATTTCATACCTATATAATTATTAAATCAGATGGGTCGCAGTGGTGGCGGATTTATGACGAAATTATGACGAATCATCTGACATTTAAAAGGTTTACAGTATTGGTTATATTTTGCTGTTGTTTTTTTTGTTGTAGTTGTTGGATTGTTTTTTGTTGATTTTGTTTGTTTGTTGTTGTTTTTTGTTGTTGTTGTTGATGTTGTTTTTTGTTGTCGTTTTTGTTGTTGTTGTTTTATTTTTGTCAGTATCACAGTTGTACTAGAATACGTGTTGACTGCAAACTTAGAGTATGGTAAACAAGATCAACAATGAAAGGCGGCGTTCAATGAACGCTACCCCCATACGACCAAGCAACAAGGACCAGCGGCCAGGAACCCAGGAGGAAACTGTTGTACAGATGAGCCAAGAAATGTCACTCAAAAGAGTGTAAAAATATATTTAAGATTAGCAACTGTTAATAACATAACATATACATGTACAGTCTCTTACTAAATACTTATAATCAAATATTGTAATTACACTTGACATACATTCAATAATACAGCAAGGTAATGCTACAGAACACACTAGTAAAGCAAATGATATTGCTAGTAAACACTGACATACCCAGAAAGTGTAAGCCGCAAAGATCATGGTAGCAATAGTCAGTAATAATGATATAAGACATAGAGCAATCACAGAGGCCCCGATCAGTTCTGAAGTGTTTTCTAACTGCCAGTCTGAAATAGGAAAATCAAGTTTTGATATTTAAGTCATGTTTCCACTACATCAAAAGACAACTGAAACTCGTATTGAAAAACGAGTTCAACGGAAATTCCGACTTACGCTTTCTGTGTCAAAGTGACCCTTTGGTTATTATTTTATAGTTTTCTAATTGTATGGATGTCTGTTAAATAAGAAATGGAAATCTATACATCAATATTTTTCCAGGTGCCCTTTAGGGAGGTAATTATGTTATAATTAATAAGAAAAGAGACATAAAGAAAGAAGAAAATATCTTGGTAATTCGGTTTAAAACTGACATTTATATAGTGAGTTATAGTTATATTCATATAGTATAGCATCAAGCTGTCCTACAGGCTACATGTAAACGGGTGTGATAATACGGGTGTTAATAAAACATAACAACAGTGAGAGCATAGTTCTCTCAATGAAACTGCAAATTTTACTTTTATGCAAATAATTAAACAAATATGTTAAGGTTCTTTTACCTCCGTTAGCTTTAAAACCACAAGCCATAATATATGGAACCAACTTAACTCCTTGCTAAAACACAACAACATTTTTATGTAAAACAAATAAAACATATTTAATATTGAATTCATCACTTACCTGATAAAGACAGATTCATGTCTTTGCACTTTATTCTACTAGATCGTGTGTCAAGGTCAACCGACACTTGCCCATTATTGTCCAGATCAACAAATTCCACCTGTAAAAGTCAAATTTTAAAAATCACTTTATTGAATCCATATTATTTTAATCGCCATCCTTATTGCCGTTTGATAGAATGATAGGACTATCTACTATTGTATAAGTCATATGCTTCAAAATAAAGATATTTCGTAACAGGGCCTGCTCCAATTATTTATTATAAGCAATTGATCGGATGTCTTGAACTTAATCTTTATCACCTTTTAAAAAATTGTACAAATGACAATGGGAATAAAACGAATGTACTTAAATAATATATAGAATGTCCAATTTGCAGACTGCTTTACCTTTAATCTACTGGTCCGCTCTCTATGTAATAGAAAGAGCACCGAAATACGAGGCTATCTTATTTGTACGAGGGGGGCTAACCCCAGAGTATTAATCAGATTGCCGAGTGTTTTGGTGTTCTTTCTCTTTTGTATCATAGTCAAACATAAAACGCGTTTTTTGTTGTCACAATATGAAACCCCAGAAAAAAGTAACAAATGAACGAGCATCTTTATATCATATTTATGTCGCGTTTCCTTTCTCTGTCGCCACAAAAAGTAAACCCCAGCAAAAATGAACCAATCAATGGGCGTGCTCAGGAGTGCTGGTAACTAATACTAGTACCTGCACTCCAGTTAACGCACTGTGCATGTATATGTATACGATTTAACTCTGACACAGAACAGAAAGGTCCCCAAACTATGATACAATATAAATTAGAGAAGCGGACGATTCGTTTCCCGAACTTCTTTTTTTAAACAAACGTTACTGGTGCGCTATAAATAGCTCTCGGGACGCTGTTTTGAAGACTTAACAGTGACATGATGCACTTTTCCAAGACAGAATTACTGAAATACTAGGTTTAAACAACACAGAATCGTGTTTCAACAAAGAATAAAAGCTGAAGGCCGCTTTAAGGAATTTTGAAATATATTTTATACATTTAAATTTTCATGTCAGGATTGTCAATGTAATTGTAAGAAAAATAAAATACACTCACCCAACCCTCTACTCGTAGACAAGTTGCCTTCCTACTGCTTTCATGTGAACGTACAGAATGGAGCTTAAAGTGAAGTGTTGTTGACAACATCCTAACAAAGATATAGCACCAAATAAAATGTAAAATGTGGCACAGTTAAACAACAATCATACGACCACTTCCTGACTTGTATTCAAACTAGCTGTTTTCGAGGGTTTGTGATAACTTTGAAACTTCTCAAATTACTATTTGAGCCTATTACTAATACATGTAAACAGGTTAATAATATGCTCAATGTGTATTTATCATTGTTTCATAGTTCTATTTTATTTTTTTATTTTTTATTTACAGTTTTTACAGCTTCAAGTGATATCGGCAGAAGGTCTTATAATAATTCTACCATCTTTTGTAATGCCCAAAACCTACTTGCTTATTAAAATACTTTTGTGAAGTAAATTTGATTAGAGTTTGTATTGGAAGAAAAATGATAAAGACTAAAAATCTATATACACCATTATGTAAGACAAACCTTTTTATTGGTTGTGACAGATTGTGATGATCAAATTCACGGGTGATATTATAACTGTACACCGTCTCATTTTCATGCGTTAAATCTACGGTCAGTCCTTTGTCAATAGGAAACGTTATGTCTGCAATTAATAAAAAAAAACAATATGTTTATTTGTAGGTTGTGTGTTACTTTTCTGGAATTACTTTTTTATAATTTAATTTTTTCCACCAATGAATAAACGATATCGTAGATTGCCTTTTCCCTAACGGTCTAAAACAGCAACAAAAGCTCGAAAAGAACAAAAGACGATCTGCGACTGCAGTCACAAAATCTCTTACACTTTCGTTTTAAACCACATCCCATTTCGTTGGCATTAGTTTTAATAACATATTAGCTCTGTTTGTATCATCAAGTAGATCTAAAGATTGGCAGAAAAAAATTCACAACTACATAATGTACTTCACGTTTTCGCTTCATTTTGCTTTGTCTGTGTTTGTTTTGTTTTAATTATTTAATGAGTCTTTATATAGTATTGAATTAGTGAATGTTATAGTCTGATTTATTTTGCCTGTCAATTATGAATACATTATAGCACTTATTTAAATATTCGATCCCACTTCGGTTCTGTCCGTATAGTTTACGAGATTTATATCAATTATATAACTACTATTTGGAAAAGTGATACTATGTATATGTAATATGTTATCGTCACATCCGCAATAGCACAGTCGATAAAGTGATTATGTCATATATCAGAGGTCTGTGGTTCGATCCCAATTTTTTTTGCCATTGTTTGTAGACTTTCTTTCTTTATTTTGCAATATTTTTTTATGGCCAAGTGCTTGCCAGTTGTCAACACGAATATACTGATTTTTCTCGTTTTGTATTGTATTTTACGGCACTGAAATGACATTAAATGATTTTAATCCGAATGAATTTTAAATATTATTTATAAAACCATGTTAGTTATAACAGAGTGTAGCTTTTATGAAAATTTGTGCAAAACATATTAAAATCAAAGGGCTGCAAGCTCTGTGCTATTTTCTGATCTTTGCTACTAAATCGTACTGTATATCTGTATGTATTTTCCTGTATAAGTTTATTTTTTATATACTATAATTCATCTTGCAGGACACCGAGATGCAGCGATCGCGTTTAGATTTTTTACTATAACAGTTTGAGTTTGATGCATACGGAATTTTGCATGACCAGAGTTGCATCAAAAATCATTTATGTTATTTTTTATGACAGTCACACTTTACCCTTTCATATCGTGGCTTAAAAAAGACACTTAAAAATAGTTGTCTCGACTGGGATTTGAACCCGAGACGTCTCGCACCTTGGACGAGCACGTTACCCCTGCACCACGTGGAAGTTATACGAAGAAAACTGAATAAATTCAAATGATTCTATAGAAATTTAGGGTTTATAATCCTTATTAAGTTTGAGGTATTTTGTTCACGATAAACCTGTTGTTTAACACTGGTTTAAATAATTTAGCAAAACTATTATCGCCAAAACAGTCTGACATGTATATATCCCACTACTCGACAGTCAGATTTATCTCAAGTATACGGTAATCAACATCGCTAAAAAGCATTTTCATTGAATAAAATGATATTCATCCGCGTAATTTGTGATTGTGCATTTATTGACAATTCTATAAGCCAACACTACTGCGTTGTAATTTGTTGGATACTTGTAACAAAACAAAAATATTTCTTTCTTTTACATCGCTAACTGTAAGCTGTTTTTGAGAACTACTTGTTGTTAGGTTTGTCGTGAAGCGCTGTGCCAGAGATTGAATGTCAGCATTGTATTTCCTGATCTGCGATCAGAAAATACAAAAACAAAAAGAACAACATTCAAGTCATTACTTTAATATAATACTTTTAAAAATAGTTATAAATATGCAAAAAATAAAAAACATAGACATACGCGGTTTCGATCTAACAACAGGTAGGACATTTAGAAATTATAAACCTACAGTTTACCTTTTTGCGTACAACGATTTCGTAGAAACAAATTATATATAACCACATCTTACTGTGTACAACTCACGAAATTTACCGAAAATTTATCGAAGATTAATTGATTGTGTGCATTGACCATGTGATTAGTGTGCAATTGATAGGATAATAAAATCAAAAAATACCAGATATGGTTATCCCTTCTCCAATACTCGCATCATGAAAACCGGGAAAGTCAAAATATTTCATTGTTGCTATCATTTCGTCGTCTGCTGTTCGAACATAGTACCCAATGGCTTCTCTTTCTGCGTTATAATACTGCAATATTTTAAATAGGAAGTTATACAATATGACAACTTTGGTTTGTAAACGGAAATACACGATTTTATACCTTTGACAATTTCGGTATACTTTCATTTTAATAAAATAACAATTTATTTTGTGAAGATGACATATTAAGAGTGCATAATAAACATGGAACTTATTTCCAATATGGCCTTCTATACATATATAACACTCTTACAAATACATAGCATTTATGTAGCTTATGGAAATTAGTATCTTAACTTCGTATGCACATGCAATCATCAACCAATCTTAACGAAATAAACAAAACAAAAAAAGAGAGCTATATAAATTTCTGTTAAAAATCAGTTAAAAGTTTTAGAGCTTAAAGCTGTATTTTTAATTAAATAATCCTTTAGTTTACCCTTAAAAGGTGACAATTTACTTTTTAGTTTTATGTCGGTTGGAAATGTATTCCATAAATGTGCCGCTTTGTATGTAAATATTTGTGTCATATAATTTGTCCGTGGCCTGAAGTGAATTAGATCATTATTCGCTGAAGAGCGAAGATTATATCTATTATTACTAGGAAAAAACAAGTAGTTCAGATATATCTAATACTTGGCGAGTCTTTCACAATGAATTTGATAGTAAAAAAACTCGACGACATTAATTATATCATATATCTTAGGAAAATTAGATTACAAAATTTAGATAGCTATAAGCCTCGAACAAGTACCTTTTGCAATAAAATACATCCCAATTGTGTATAATTTGATGAACGGATAAAAGCGCTTTTCACTTAAGCACATGATTGGTTGCTTAGACTATAGAAACAGGAAGTTAACACAATTATATATATGTGTGTGTCATTATACATGTATTTTGATACACTTACAATACATTTTTTCGTTGTTTTGTTTTTATTGTTTGTTGTTTTGTAAGTACATTAATAAGACTGATATTCGTTTATATAAGTACATGTAGCATAGTCATCGCTTTTACATGTACAGCTATTTAAAAGTGGTGGAATAAAGTAAAAGAAAAAAACTGAAAGCAAAAAAAATTATATTATTAGATGTTTAAAATTGAAACTATTAAATGTGAAAAAACACGTTAAAAGTATTAAAACAAGCACTTTGGTTTGATTATAAAAACTAAAATCGATCAGCGAATAAAAAAATACTTAGTATCACTTTTTTGTGTGTAACAACGTATTAATTGTATCAATTTATATTCATGTTTCTAAAAATAAAACATTACCATCCAAGTTTAAATCTATGTCAAGTTATTTGAACAGCTAACTTCCTGACTGGCTGTACTTTAATATTCTCTCATTTTCAGTTTCGGGACTATCAATTCAAGGAAGTAAATACTATGTTATGAGTACAATTGTTGTTGTTTTTATTGCAAACCGCAAACAGAAGTCGCCCTCATCACAAGTAGTACTTCCGTATTTCAGATTCCTTCAAATTTTTGGAAATAAATCCTTATTGGCTAAGCTTTATTAGGTTAAAATGTAATTTTGATACATTTTTAAAACGGAAAAAAGCGGACGATGGCATGTACAGGAAATAATCTGGCCGATTCGATATTTTCATTTTGACAAAGAAAGCAAACAATTCTAAATCTGAGAAACTGTATCATAGAAGTGTTTCGAAATATTTTTAGTCCTTAATCTGCAGAAATTTTAAGTGGTCTTGCTCAGCTTCCGACTTTTTGAAGTGCTCATTAATATTTTTTAAGAACGTGGTTTTCGGCAATTAGTGAAGAACCAGGTCAGACTTGACGGAAATTGGCCAGGTTCTATAGTGGTGGCAATGGGTTTATCACCTTTGGTTTTATCAGGGTAAAGGCAAATTCACTTACGTTTTTAACAGCATAGTTAATACCACTCTCGAGATCATCAATATTATACACGGCAAAGTCACCTTGTGCAGGAGGATATGGCAGCGTTTCCCAACCTGTAAAATAAATAGTCCATCGAACTAGTGAGCAATGATATTGTGCTGCCTATCATAGTAAAACATTACTTATTACTTTTTTAGAAAACTAATTGCTCAAAGAAAAGTTAAGATATCTGCTTTATGTATTGAACTTAAATAATCTTAATTATATCCGAAATATTGTAACCCTAGTAGCTGCGCATGCGCCAAAGAAGAACCATATGAATCAAGAAAATGCATTACTAGCGTCCCAGTTTTTTAAAAGAAGATGTCGAAGGACAAGATGGCCTCTGTTGACAACTGAACTAAAGTTTCCTCGATCATTTCCAAACTGGAACATCTGAATTGTAAAAAGTAGAGCAAAAAGTCATGAAAAATAAAGTGAGAGTAAAACAGTGGTCCTACACAGTTGGGTGGATTGCAATTACCGCTGACTAATAATTAAAAATAGTTCGAATTTAGAGCTTAATGTCTGCCAGGATATTTATAGTTTATCATGTATAAGATTATATAGCTAGATATTACTGGTTGTTTAATTTATGTGCTCGATAAAGCATGAATCATAACTACATAAGAACATATCTCATTTGTATCTATAAGCATTGTAAGATTTATCAATGTAATTTAAATTCTTATTTTAGATTATCAGATTATGAAACTTCTGACTAGTAAATCAATAAAAAATAGAGCAAAAATAGTTTCAAGGATCAAACCTGACTTGTAAGTAGAGCTACTTTTATGATTTGCATCAAGAAGACGAAACAGTAAATAAAATGGAAGTTGCATGTGTTCCCCTTAAATTTGAATGCTGAATAGAAGTAAAGCCTCAACAGTTTACGAAGTCTCTTTGCTTCATCCTCGTAATCAGCGACTTTGTTACCATCCGGTCTGTCTTTCCTAACTGCGAACAAAAATTCATAGTGTAAATTAAAATATTTATGTAAGAGTAAGCGTTCTTGTTAGCTGATAATAGGGCGGCAACTCTTTGTTACAGACTGATATAGCAAATTTTGCTTTTATCTAAATGCTTTATTTGCAAATATCTGACTCTTTCTTAGTAATTCCTTTGATAAACGTAAAAGTACGCAGCTATAAAACGGTACTACAATAGCTTTGTTGTTATGATTGCATTGTTGTTGCCGTTTTGATCATTTACTCTTAGTGGCAAAAAGTTTGTAAGGAGATCGAAATGCAAATGTAATCACGGTGACAGTAAATCGTATTTTAAGTGTAAAAGAGGCAAAAATAAATAATAATAATAAATAAATACCACATTTATATAGCGCCCTTTTCATTAAAATGTTCAAAGGCGCTTTACATCAATCATATATGTCTAAAACAATATAAATGAACAGGATTATGAACATTAAAAATATTTTGCATTAACTAATTAAAAGTATAAATTATGGAATTATTTTTACATATTAATACAATATAACTTAAAGATCCTTAAAACTCACTTTACAATATTATTGTCATACATTAAAATTGTCTTCAATATATAAATGTGTAAGAAATAATGTGCCTTTTAACATAAACTCATAAATAAATATTAAAAGCTACTTTAAATGCATATTGATGATTTTCATTGTTTTGTTGTCATACTTTACAACAGAAAATATATGAACGATTGATAGAAGAATGAATACAGCGACATCAGACTAAAAGAATATTGAACCTAACGAACCTGGATAGCATGAGTACTGCTACACCAAGGTCCAGTATCACCACTATCACCACAGGAGGAAAGGGCCACGCCCCACACCTTAACACTAAATATTCTTGAAATCTGACCCCTCTGCATTCACGAGCCATATATTATATAACACATGTAAATTATTATGATAAATCAATGTTAGTTTTTTGTTTGTTTTTTTTTTATTTAAAAAAAGAAATATTCTGTGCTTAAAAATGCTAGCAATGGATTTATAATAATAGATAAGATCTTGCTAAATCATCGTTATAAAACAATAGAAATACTAAATTGATTTAAAAATTGTTTGTTTAAAAAAAAAAACTTTTTAATAAAACTAATATTGCTTAAAAAAAATGCTTATCTTGCGTTGGTCTTTTTAAATGCGTATTAAGCCAATGCTTCTAAGATAAAGAAGAAATTCTAATAACATTGATTAAATAACTCCGCATGGAACATTACCCGTTTGCTTCATTTCAAATTGACAAAAAGCTGTTTAGAGATTATTTCTTATTTTGAAATATAATCAGTTTATAATGAACGTTAATCTTCACTGCAAATTCTAAATTGTGCTTTGATTATTTGATTATATGTTCCGTGTCAATAAATTTGTATGTTTATTAAAAAATACTTACATAAATCTTGTACTAACTTACCGCTAGTTTCTAATTCCATTTTCGCTATAATGACATGAGGATATTATGAAATATATATTCTAGCAATTTTAACTTTCAATTTCACTTTCATAAATGTATAGAAAAGCTTTTTTCATGAACATCCTAGTTAGATAGAAAAGCTTCTCGGTTTCACTTTAATAAATACTTTTTTTTCAAATCTTGATAACACGCCTTTCTTAAGGTATCCAGTCCATCATATATGCTCGGGAAAACACCGTGCCACATAAAAGGAAGTAAGCGTCTGTTTTCCTCGGAGCAGAATGAAAATAAAGTTTTGCATAAAAGTTGCACACAGATAACTACTTTATCGGAAATGTAAACAGGAATTAAAGCATCATGCCTCCAGATTTATGCTATTTTCATGATTTTTTTTAAAATATGTGTAAACGTAAAATGAAGTGAAGAGACCAAAAGGAACCATTTTACACCTATCTATTTGCACTTACAACTCACGTAAGTTACTAAAATGATGTAAAAATTTGCAACAAACCCCTTTCTTCGTTAGTAACGCAGTAGAAATATAGTCATAATATTTTAATACAATAAGTCATTAACCACGTATTACATGTCAAATATTGATTGAATCTTTAGTATTTTACATTCCTAAAGTCCTAAAGTCTAAGTAATTTTTTTTTTTTTTTTTTTTTTTTGAAGTTTGATTTTATTGAATTAGTTTGGCATGTAGCTTTAAAGGTTCAGATCAGATATGCACGAGCTGTCATTGCATTGTTTTATAAGCGTGACTCGTGACATCACATTAAAACAGGTAACTGCAATTATGGCCCGCTTTTCATTATTAAATATAACATACAATACCACATTAAAAGCTAGTGACGAAATTCATGTGTCTGTATGATTGCAGAATTACTTTTATCAAAGCCCTCGGACATGTTTAATCATTGTCCATACGGACTCGGGCTTTAAATGCGTTCTCGTGTTCTTCTGCAGATGTTAACGCTTGACAAACAGGTGCGTCAACAATCTATTGTCAAATGAACGTCTTTAAAAGTTTAGATAAAATAAGATACGCAAAAGGACGCAAGTTACCGAACTTTTACGAGTTATTGATGGATCTAGAACCTTAACAAATGTTTATCAATAAAGCTGTTATAATTAACGGACTAATTTCTTTATCGTTACAAAGAAACCTTCATTATAAACAAATTACGTGACAGGAAGTCTGTACTTGGGGAAGAGAATGTCGTAAATGAACTCAATGAGGAAGAAGTGAACATTTTACAAACTGGACTATTTCAAAAATATCTAATTTAAGTTGTGTAGCCTTACAATTATTTTGAAATATTTTTTGTAATCAATCTAGTCGAATTTTAAGTATTATAATTATAGAAAATGAATTTTCATAGTTTTTTAACATAATCATTATTTTATATGCTTATCGATATCCAATGCTCAGAATTGATAAAAGTATTTTAAAGAACTGATAATTGATATACAGTTTCTATTTAAATGTAAAATAAACATCTTCTGCATGTCACGTTTAAAAGTGAATCGGTCAACAGGGAGCATAGTTTCCATAAGTATTTCAAATGTTGATAAAAATATTACTTTAAAAATGATAATATAGTGCTTAGTCTAATCGTGTATCATATACTTGCCAACAACACCCATATAATTATAATTATTTCGTGGTTTGTTGTTATTTTCTGATACTAAATAATATCAACTTAATTATTTATTGTACATCAGACTTTCCATTAAAGACCAATTCACTTTAAACTCCACACACTATATTTATACATAGTGTCAATTAAAAAGAATCTTACCAGTTAAAACAACGTCATTTAGTCTTGCTGCTGAATTATTTTCATGCTGATCTTCATTCTTGATATCTATTTGAAACAAAATGCATTGAATTTGAATGTCAGTCAACATTGCTAAGATTGCCATAATCATTATAATAATAATAATTGTCATCATCATCATCATCATCATCATTACCACCACCATCATTATCATCATAACCACAATCACCACCACCACCATCACCATCATTATCAACATTAACATTACTTCCACCATCATAATAATCATAACCATCACCATCATTAAATACCATTCCATTACCACCACTGGGTCAAAAATTTTTCATTAACAAACCTTTTACATAAAATTCCCACCCACTGTAAATCTTTAAAATCATAACCACCCCCACTTTATATTTTCCCGCCCTTGTAAATCATTATTTTATACCACCCATCTTTAAAAATCATCCTTTACCCATTTTATCTTTATAAATTAACCACCACCATCTTTTACCCATCTTAAACCACAATCCCCAAACCCCCATCACCACTTTATAAATTCTTTTAAATTTTCCCCAAAAACCAAATCAAAATTTAATCAAATTTAAAAAAACCATAATTATAAATCTTCCCACCATGTCACATTATCTTTCCCCAAAACCAAACCACATTATTCAAAAACACCATCAAACCCCGCATCGTAATCTTTCATTTTTTTCATTACAATATTTTTCCAACAAAACCCGCTATAATCATCATCATCGAAATCACAATATCCACCTTGATAGCTTTCATTATCCCCAAATTAATCATTTTCAAATTCCACCCCTTATCATCCCAATCACCATCATCATCATACTTTCATCAAAAATCCCCCCTTTATCAGGCTATCACCTTAAATCATAATCATAAATCATCACCCACAATATTAAAACCTTACCCATCGCTACACCATAAATCACCCATCATCATCATACAAATATTCATTTTTAAATTTAAGTCATCATTATAAACTTTAACACTCAATTTTAAACCCTTTATAAATGGGTTTATCATCATTATAAATTTTTCACTTGACCTTAAACATCTTTGTCTTTAAACAAATTTTTTTTTATATCCCAAATTTTTATCATCATCCCCAATAATCATCACCCATTTTAAACCAAACTTAAACCAAAACAAATTGTCTCCAATAAATAACAAATTATTTTTTAAGGATCCCATTGTTTAGTCAATGTGAAGAAACGATAAAAAAAACCCAATTTCCGCAAATTGTCGGCCTTTAAATGATCTGTTTTCCTGTAAAAAATTTTTTAAAATGTTAAAAAAAAGGGGTATTTTAACCCTTTAATTTTTCATTTAAATTGGCAAGGAAAAAAAAAATATGATTTAAAAAAATAAAAAATATCTTAAAATAGTTTGTGTTGAAATTAAAAAAAATTTTATGAATTGTGTAAGAAAATTAAATTTTCGAAAAAAAAGCTAAAAAACACAAAAAAATTTACTCCTAAAAAACCCTCGGGAAAACCCGGGAAATCCCTAAAAACCGAGCTTTTAAGGGGCCCCAATTTTTTCAGAGTTATACTGTAAAATTTTACATAAAATACTCTTTTTTAAATAGTCCATTCGCCGTTTTTGTAAAGAAAGAAACGAAATTTTTTGTTTTTTCTTTAATTTTTATTTTTATTGTTTTTGTTGGCTTTTTAATTTTGAAAAAACGAGCAGTTAAAAAAGAAAACAATGGCCTCCAAAAATTTTTTTGGTAAAACCCCCCAAATTAATTTGTTTTCCTTTTTCTGGGCCCCTTTAAAAAATTAAATTTTAAAATTTTTGGGCCCAAAGAAGAAAAAATTCCCTTAGAATTTAAAATAAAAGGGAAAATAATTTTTTAAAGTTTCCCAAATTGAGTGTATTAAAATTTCAAGCCGGTTCCGGGTGTTTATATGGGAAAAAAGAAAAGTTACGGGAATCCAAACACCCAAAGTTTGCAAAAAACGGTCGGGCCCTTGCCAAAAATGGGTTTTTTTCTTTTTAAATTTTTTTTTTCTTTTTTTGGATTGTTTTTGTTTTCAATTTTTGTCAATCCTTTGGGGTTTTAATTTAAATTTTCGTGAAAAAAAGGGCCAATCGGGAGGGGGCTACTTTGAAATCAACCGGGATGGATTATTTAAATTTATTCCAAATTTTTTTCGTTTTGCACTATTTTTCCGTTTTTTTGGATTAAATAAACCAAGAAGGGGGAATCCTTATTTAAACCACTCTCAAAGGGGGATAAAATTTCCTTTTAATTTTTAAAAATTTTTTTTTTTTTATTTGGGGAAAAGGAAATTTTTACTTTTCCCCGGGTTTTTTTCAAAAAAAAGTTTAAAAGTCAAATAAAAAATAAAAGATAATGCAAATAACGGGGAATCAAAAAGTCGTATTTATGCAAAACAAATTTGGCGGTAGTAACACGAAAAAGACGCAAAACGAAATGAACGTAACTGAAGGCCGAATCAAGGGGTTATAGGTGGTCCCAAAACGGCGAAACAAAAAGGTGTTAAAACGCACGATTCTTACACATTTTTAGACATACACGGAACCCGAAATTGAAAAAAATTCAAATAAAATCACTGTTGACGGATGTCAAAAGGCCACTAAAAATGCGCAATAAACGTTGAAAAAAAAAGTACGGAAAACAAATCGCTGCACTTTTTAAAAGTTTAGCCAAGGGACGACCCGTATAAATTTGTTGATTGTCGAGTTAGAACCGAAAAAAACGCCCCTTAAAATTCGCATTAAAACACCTTTTATATTTGTATGTGAGAAAGTTAGCAGTTAAACCAAGTAAACCTTAAAGGGGATTAAAAGGCGATTTCATTAAATGGGGAAATCTTTTGATGGTTTTGGTTTTTTTCCCCTCAGCTGGGAAAAAGGGCAATCTAAAAAAAGGAGTTTCCCAAAATTTTAAAATTTTTGGAAAAAAAAATGCCTTTTTGGCTTGTTTTTGCCAAAAAGCGGCTATGCAAATCAAAAGCGGGGGGCTTTTTCCAAAAATTTTGGGCGAAAAAAAAGGTTTTTTGCGGGGAATGTTTTAGCCTGGAAAAAAAGCCCTTTTCCCAAAAAGGGGGGGGGAAAAAAAAAAATTTTCCAAAATAAAAAAAGTGTAACAAAATAAAACCCTGCTGGGTATGCTCAGCCTTCCCAAGGAAATTTTCTAGCAGGGCTTTTCCTAAAAAAAGTGAAAAAAAAAATCCCTTTCTGCTGTTATACTCAGCTGGCTAAGCAATCTAGCGGGGCATTCCAAAGTATAGTGTAAAAAGCTCTCCTGTTATGCTCAGCTGCTAGGCAATCTAGCGAGCCATTCCAAGATATAGTGTAAAAATGCTCTGCTGTTATGCTCAGCTGGCTAAGCAATCTAGCGGGGCATTCCAAAGTATAGTGTAAAAAAGCTCTGCTGTTATGCTCAACTGGCTAGGCCAATCTAGCGAGCCATTCCAAAATATCATGTAAAAAATGC